GCTGCTCTCAGTGTGTTGCTGTGTGTGTGTGTGTGTGTGTGTGTGTGTGTGTGTGTGTGTGTGTGTGTGTGTGTGTAACTTTTTTAGTATCCCTTTTATTTTAATTTTTATTTAACAGGAACAATATATAAGACATTGCCTTTTAAAAATTGGATAATTATATGCATGTAAAAGTTCTAGCTTCAGTGTATTTGCAATTTTAGTCCCTGGTCAGGCTTGAGAATGTATTAATTTATATTTATTGAATACAATAAAAAAATAATACAATTAATAAATAGCATCAATCAATACATTTTAGACACTTGTGTATGTCTGAGTGCCTCAGCAATGTAAGTGTAGCGGGTTAGTGAATATGCTGTGTCCATGCAGAACTTGTATTTACATTTATTTGGTTTGTCTTTGTCCACAGACATCAGTAGATGTAAAGAGGACCGGGGACAGGAGAAGGAGCTTCAAGGCAGGCTGGTACCATATCCACCCCTGGCTTGAATATTCTCAACAGATGGACTCGGCATATTGTTACGCTTGCAGACATTTTAGCCCTCCTAATCCTGTTTTTTTCTCATCACTGTAATGTTATGACTACAATGCTTTCCAAGTTTGATGAAATAAAAAGTCAAATAAGATTTCGAATCTGGCCATATTAGCCCTGGGTAGAATGTGCACCTCCATCAAAACCCCTGGCCCCAGCCCGGCCCCCTCAGGGAAATTGATCGAGAACCGCCACTGCGGCCCGATGACCAGTGGTTAGCATGTCGACCTCACAGTGCAGAGGTTCAATTCCAGCTCTGGCCTCCCTGTGTGGAGTTTGCATGTTCTTCCCGGGCCTGCGTGGGTTTTCCCCGGGTACTCCGGTTTCCTCCCACATTCAGCACTCCCCTCGACCCTCGTGAGGATAAGCGGATCGGAAAATGAATGAATGAATGAATGTTTCCATTGCTGAGCCAACATACCTCGGTGAAGTAAAGCATGCCCCCATATTTTGAATCCATCTCTTCTAAAAAGCACAAAACCTACTGTGTTTTCAGCCCCTGGATCTGATGTGGTTGATGCATTCAGGCATTTGCTGCAAAGGGCCTGCTGATGGATGATGCAATACAGACCTATCACTTCTCCCACACCCTCCTCTTCTAGTTTTGTTTTGTTTGTTTTTCAACAAATCCCACCAGTCAATTTTTCCTCCCTCTAATTGATGGCGCTCCATCAGTTGTTATACCAACAAACCTCTTCCATGAAAAAACGGCATTCTCAATTGCATCGCACAGCTGATGAAATATCTCCTGAGCAGTATACTTTGCCAGCTGCGCAGTGTCAGTGATATCTATGGCCTCATCAAGAGCGACTGAATATACACTGAAACATTTTGCTGTCTCACATTGTCTGTACTCCACTGGATGAGTCTCTAGTTGATCATAAATGTCACTTGACATGTCACAAATGCACTCTGCCAGAGTGTTGGCAGAAAGGCTGATGTCGCTTGACTGACCTTTCTTTTCTGGACAGACAATACTTGCGGCCTATAACAGGCACTTTTTGAAAAATTCACCTTCTGTGAATGGCTTTCTTGTTTTAGCTATCATCTCACGAACCACATACCTAGCTTTGACTGCTGCGTTTTTCTCTTTGGTTACTTTCTGTAAAAAAGTTTGGTTGCTTCACTAGCCATGTTTTAAGACTGGCAACTGGATTGGTTCTCTCATCTCCCTGGTATTTTGCATGTCTAGTTGTGGAATGATGTTTCAAATTGTAATTCTTATGCACCGCATCTTTCTCTGTCCACATAAGTGTCGTCAGGGTACCCCTGTGCTCCACAAAGACATATTGAATTCCCCACTTTTCCTGAAATTGTCGGTGCTCATTACGCTGAACATCACGCTGAACTACAACACAGCTTTGTTTTTAAAAATAAAATCACAAAGAAGACGAATCAAAATTTTCTTCGAGAACTATATCACTTTGGCCTCAACGCAGGACGACCATCGTTTCTTTATTGGACTGTAACATTATTATTTCCAGTTTCTGGGCCTAGCTAGCTGACTTAGCCTTGTTTGCTAGCCGCTTCGTCTCGAAGCAGAGATCAAGTGTGAACGTAAACTGTGGTGGTTTTCTTGGAAAATGCGCCCAAGAAAGAACAGCGGAGAACGAGGAGGAACTTTGTAGGGCAAAAGAGGAAAGCGATGCTGTTTTTAAGAAATCTTGATTTGGCTCACGCAGAGCAGGTTTGGTAACTTCGAGTTCTTACTCTATAGTCCACGAACTACTTTTTTTCTTGTAACGATGATCCATTTTACATCACAGAAAGCTTTGTTTTCTGTCTATAGTGGCCAAGCCAGCTGCCACAATTTTTAAATACTCGCACATGCTGCAAGGGTCAGTTTCAAAATAAAAGCCTTAAAAGACATTGATGACCATGTATTACCTAAGAGATTTCTGCGCCTTGTGGAGATCCACACAACAGACATTTGTAGCAAAGTCAACTGTTTCTTCAACACAGGATCTGTCTGGCACGTGTTTTTCAGTTAATATGTATGAACAAAATATTTTGTTGACCGATAATTGTCTGCCTCATTGGACACGCTCACATCCTTCTGCAGCTGGAAGCAGGGCTTGATTTTTCATCGTCTTTTATTGGATGCGATCCTGAATAAAATGGACATTTTCTATTCTGTCATCAAATGTGTGATGTAGCCATATGTATTGTTGTTTGACACTGTGTGTGGAATCACCGCTCATGTGCAGACAATGGCGCTAAGTGCTAAGTTAGTCAGCGAATTACCTGTTTTTAAGGCAGGGATCTGATCGCCATTTAGTTTGTTGTGAACTATGATATTTGTAGATTCTGTGTTTTCTCAATAAATAGAACTATTAATAAAAGTGAGCCTCAAGCTTGTCCCCGACGTCTTCTTTAAAAAAAAAAAAAAAAAAAATTATGTCCTGAGCAGATTTCTGCATTTCGGAATATTTTCTGCGCAGCTGCTTATTTTATGTGTTCATTGTAAGGATGCTCTGTATGAAATGGGAATATCTGTTCAATCAAAGTGGAAAACTTAATAATGACAAAAATAGATTAAAGTTTCCGAGAATTCAAACAGGTCTACTAACTTCAATTCAAAATTAGAATCCCTCAGAGAGGTAAACCAACAAAACTCCCAATGAAAAGCGTGACAATTATCGATCTGATAGAACATAATTCCATAACCTATTTGTGCAGAATTTTGAGCACTTTCATCACCCTTTATTAAAACCATGTGCTGATTTATCAAACTTTCGAGCTCCATTCATAGTGGTATTAGATTTGGAAATGAAAAAAAAAGAGAATTTATAAAATGTAAGTAATATAATAAATCAATTGGAAATAAAACTTCACCCGTGAATCCACCTGGGCCGGAAAGGGAGGCACCTCAACATCCACAACCTCCTCCAGGGTGATTGGCGTGCCAAGGAATTCCATCTGATCAACCAGTGACTCAATGTTTGATGTATGACATTTATTCACAATTACATTTACACTTGCACGTCCAAAGTGACTTCATATGGACATTAATACATTATACAAAGTTCATGCAGTACTGAAAGAAATTTAGCACCACTGTGAAGCCCCCAAGAGTCTTAAAGAAGACACAAAAACTACAATAATGTATTCGTGTGATGTCTTGAGAATTGTGGGACTGTTTTTAAATGTACGCTACATGTGCAGTTTTTTCCCCTCTGGCTCAAAACATCCTCCCATTAACAGAATGGTTGGAGTCTATCGTATTTTTTTGTCCTCCTCATATTCCCGACTGTTTTCCTTCCATATCTAAGATATCGGGGTGCTTAACAGCGACATGCCAGACTCCTCGTTCTGTCTTGCCCATGTCAGTCTTGTCGATGTTTCTCTGAACGGGTTGTAACTGGGAAGTGAATTCCTTGTGTGTTTCTTGCATACATAGTCACTAAATCTGATTCTGATCAGCAAAAACACAACATGGTACACAGAATATAATAACAGAGATTGTTGTGAATAAGTGTAATGGAGTGATACATGATGTTTATTAAATTATGACGGAAGTGACGCAACAGCGCACAGTATGGCACCAGCTTCCCACCATAGCTCAGGCAGAGCTATGAGGAAGTCGCATCTCGTTGATGGTCCACATTCATTCATAATTTTCTAAGAATATTTCACATTGTTTTTCTTTTTCTATTGTGTGATGTGTTAAATTACTCCTGTGATTCGTTCTGAGTCCACATTGCTTTTTGTATTGTTATGTAATTTACGTTTTGTTGAGTAGAAGGTTTTACACGTTGAGTTGAAAGTGCTTGTCTGTTGCGCAGTTATGTCCAAGATCCAATGCGACTTCACCATTGCTCCCGTCATACTGTGTTGCAGAGTGCCATTAAAAGAAAAGCCAAAATTCACCCAAGTATCAAGTGTTGTTGAAGAGACAGCAATGTGGAGCTAAAGACTGCCACAATCTGTCGTGACACCCGTCACATAAGTATGATGGTAAATCTTCTCTGTGTTAAATGGGTAGATTTGCATTTTAAGCTTGATTATAGCGTTCCTCACCGGCACACTTGTGTCTCTTGACCTTCTCCTTCTGAGAAAATCTTTGGCCACAAACTGAGCAGGCAAAAGGTTCCTCTGCAGCGTGGGTTCTCGTGTGTATTTTTAAGCTTATCTTATGTGAGAATCTTTGACTGCAAACGGAGCAGGCAAAGGGTTTCTCTCCAGTGTGGGTTCTTGTGTGTATTTTCAAGTTAGTCTTTTGAGAGAATCTTTGACTGCAAACCGAACAGGCGAAAGGTTTCTCACCTGTGTGGATTCTTTTGTGTATTTTTAACTTTGTGCTAAGAGAGAAGCTCTGACCACAAACTGAGCAGGTAAAGGGTCTCTCACCAGTGTGGGTTCTTGTGTGTATTTTTAAGTGTGTCTTTCGAAAGAATCTTTGACCACAAATTGAGCAGGAAAACGGTTTCTCACCCGTGTGGGTTCTTATATGACTCATTAAGTTTCCCTTAAGAGAGAATCTTTGGCCACAAACTGAGCATGAAAAAGGTTTGACGCCAGTGTGGGTTCTTGTGTGACTTATTAAGTTTCCTCTCTGAGAGAAACTCTGGCCACAAACTGAGCAGGAAAACGGTTTCTCACCAGTGTGGGTTCTTGTGTGACTGATTAAGCTCACCCGCTGAGAAAAACTCTGGCCACAAACTGAGCAGGTAAACGGTTTCTCGCCAGTATGGGTTCTTGTGTGGCTCATTACCTGTCCCTTCCTCGAAAATCTTTTCCCACAAACCGAACAGGAAAAAGGTTTCTCTCCTGTGTGTGTTCTCATGTGTTGTTTTAAACGGCTCTTATAAGCATAGCTTTTCCCACACTGAGAACACTGCCAGTGTTTGTTTTCAGTGTGACATATCAGATCACCTTCAGACTCTTCATCATCATCATCATCACCATCATGATCATCCCCATGAGTCGCATGTGACATGTCATCACTATCTGACAGTGGAGCGATGAGGCCGTCTGCTTGTGATCCTCCACGGTGGTCACCATCACCTTCTGTTGTCATGCGTTGACATGAGGTGCTGCTCGTAGGCTCCACCCGTCTGCTCATCTCACTTTGACATTTATATTTACTCTTCAAAGTGATGCCAGTTGATGGTAACTTGCAGATAGCCTCTTCCTTGATGTAGGGGGGCTCGTTTCCCTCCTCATTATAGTTGGGAACCTCTTCCTCCTCCTCTTCCTCCTTAATGTCAGGGGTCGCTGGCTCCTGCCGCTCCGGCTGAACATCTTCACTGATGTCTGCAAGACAAAAGAGGATAAACACGATATGATAGTTTGTATTTAGAATCAGGGGTGTACATAAGCGGTGCGCCAGTGCGCATGAGCACGCCGACTTGAATATTGAGCTCTAAGTCAAGTCTCTCATCGTGCTTTTGCGCATGAGAATTTCGCAACTCAGTCAACATGACTGCAGTCAGGCTATGCAACCTCCGATTTAAGTCAAGTCAGCCGCCACAGCGATGGCTTCCAAGGACCAACTTCAAAATTAACGTCAGATAAATCGTTGCGATATATGCACAGTATCACTTATCTCGCATTTATGTTGAAGTAGACCCTTGTAGCGGGTGGAACAGCGTATGAACAAATCGTCCTAGCTGACTTGAATACATTCATCGTAAAATGGTGGGCACATGCAAGAGAACCGACTTTCGGGTGAATTGACTTTCATGAGGATTTCAAAAATAAAGTAAAAAAAATATGCATGATGTCACAAATTCAAGTTCAGAAATGTGGTGTTAAAAGGGGCTGAAAAAAAACATTAAATGAAAAGTATTTCGTTACGTTTTTCAAAAATGTAGTACGACCTTCTGATTAGGGATGAACAATTTCAGGGTGAATCTGGATTTTTTCTGACACATATTGGGATTGCGAGTCAATTCATGACTCTTTTTTTTTTTTTTTCAAAATGAAGCTTCAGCTGTTAATATGTAACACTACGACAGAAAATTACATACTATCAAAACATATACACATAAAGAAATGACTAATAACACTGGATGTACAAAAAACTTTTTTAAAAAGAAAAATGTTTCAAGTTTTACATTCGTTTGCATTTTGATTCTACATCAATGAAAGATCGTATGTAAGTTGTTTTGTGTATTTTTGCCATGTTTAACTTGTCTCATATGCAGACTGAAAAGTGAGTGATATGGCCTAAAATTCATATCATGCTATAAATTGAATCCATTGACAGTAACTGCACCTTTTGGATATGAAATTAAGCATAAATACTACAATGGAAGTATCCCAGTTATTTGTTTTTACTTCCTATCTTGAGAAGATTCTTACTCAGTTGTCGGTGAAGTTAATGGTACGAACAGTTTTAAATGATTTATGCTGGCCACATTTGTTTACATCGTAAAAAAAAAAACTGCAGTTGAATAGGGGTGTGTGGACTTTGTATAGCCACTGTACAAAGCAGCTACCCCATCTTGCTACTTTTTTAGTAATATGCCTGCATATTGTACAATAGTATTGTGGTTGTATGTAATAAAGTTTGCTTCTGTGAGGTGTTTCAAACTTTTCTTCAATGTGCCACCTTTGAACTTTGGGCACCAGCCGCTCCAAAAGTTTTAGCACGCCCCTGGCTGACACCACAACTTTACTATGTTGAAATTGTTCACAATACAGTATCTGAATTGTCTGAGATGGAAATCCTCCCCCCTCCCCCTCTTGTCATTATGTCCAAGCCTCAGTCATTTAGGTATTTCACTCAATGTGAAATGAGTTCTAATATTAAATGGCTTTTACTTCCTCAAACAAATGCAACAATAAATACATAAATAACTTATTCAAGATATTCTAAATTGTTTTTGAGCTATTTCTGTCAGACTCCGAAGATGTCAATCAATCAAGACCCCAACTGCGGATGAATGTACCGCTCCCAATTATTATTTGTTTTTAAACATTGCTTCATCATCCACAGAGGATGAAAACCCTAACAACAATTAAAATCAGAATGTACTTTCTCGACAAATGAGAGTAGGCCAAAGAAGTGACCAAACCTGCAGTGCCGAACGCAACTCTTGGTTGCATGTTGCAAATGGCGTCCAGCAGTTGAAATGGTCGCTCGTTTTCCTCTTTTGGTCTATAAAGCTCCTCCTCGCACCCTGTTGTCCTTCTTGAGCTCATTTTCTCACGATAATCGTAAAGCTTTACGCTAACACTTGATCTTTGCTTCGCGATGTGTTGATCACAAATGCGTCTCTTTGTTTGTGGCTATCAAGCTAAACTAAGCTAAGCTAACCGAGGCCGAGTAGCTTCGACGTGCACCGAAACGATTGAACACAGACACAGGAATTTTTCAGTCCGGTGAAGTAGTGATGGACGACTTGCATTGAGGCTTCAGTACGCTCATTTGGCCCAAATTCGGAATGATTTAAAAGCGCGTGTGGATACGTAAAATACGAACGAGAACGTATGTTGGGCTCCGCGAAGGCCCACTCCACCAAAAGAGGTAAACTCTCGTGCTGCATTTCAAAACAAAAGTCCCCTAATATTTGCATATTTTATTTCATTACCCCTTCTATTATATCACGCGCAAATGGACAGAACAGGAATGAATATATCGTGACTGACCATTAAAAAATTGTATTATTATACGACCAGCATAGTTTAATTGTCAGAGTCAATTCGTGTCATTCCATAAAGTTTGACTGAATCGTGTTGCCGTACATGCTCCGCTGTTGTTGACGTTCTGCTTACAGAACTCCCACAATCACACGGACTTCACGAAAAAAACAACCAAAATTCTCAGCCTACAAGTGAATACACTGAAACCTCTACGCAGGGCATGAACTCAATTCACTAAAAGTCATGTCAGGTCCACGTTGATTGTTTAAGGCCTAATTTAGCTTCCTTAGCCTAGCTTGCTAGCCGGTAACAAAGAGACGCGTTTGTGATCAACGAATCGCTCAGCAGAGACCCAACCGTGAGCAAAACTATCGCGACTGCCGGGTGAAAATGTGCGCAAGAAGGACGGCTGAGTACGAGGAGGAGCTCTGTGCAGCAAAAGGGGACAACGACGCTCTTTTCAAGAATTTGGGAGTCGGCTCACGCAGACCAGGTTTGGTCACTTCGAGTTCTTATTCTGAATTGTTGAAATTCCCGTGTTTGTTTGTAATGGCGAGACTTTCATACGGGCCCAGTGTGACAGACATTACGTTGAATGTAACAAAATTAACATCGAATCATGTGTGACTTGATCCCATTTCTGGGCATATTTTTGCCAGTGATAAATCACACATTTAAGTAGCCAAAGTAAAATGTAGTGTAGTTAAAATAGGAATTTAAAAAATGTTCAATTTAGGCCAGCAATCGTTACTCGGACTTCTCATGCTACAAAAACAGGTCTTAATAAAACACGACACACAGGCATAGATCACTGAATTCAGGCAAACTTATCCGCCAATAAAAGATCATTTTTGAGCGTCCCACTGTTCTTCTTTGAACTTGTATATTTATTAGCGCTGACAAAAAATATATATGCAATTGGCGGGTGATCAATATGCACTAGACAAAAAGTATGACAAAAAATATATATACAGTATACAGTGTACAATCCGGAAGAAAACGGAAATCTTGAACAATAATAATAATAGCAATAATACATTTTATTTATAAGCGCCTTTCAAAATACCCAAGGACACTTTACAATCAAAAGAGCAATAAAACCACAGATAAAATTATAAATAATAAAAGCGATGAGTTTAAACTGTATATGCAATTTTAAATAGGTGGGTTTTAAGATGAGTTTTGAATATCGGAAGAGAGTCAATATTTCGGATGTCGGGTGGGAGTGAGTTCCAGAGTTTGGGGGCAGAGCGGCTGAAAGCTCTGCACCCCATCGTGCTGAGACGGGCAGAGGGTACACAGAGGTGGAGGGAGGCTGAGGACCTAAGGGAGCGAGACGGAACAGAAATTTGAAGAAGGTCCGACAGATAGGCGGGGGCAAGGTTATGGATGGCTTTGAGTGTGAAGAGGAGTATTTTGAAGTTGATCCTCAGTTTGACAGGGAGCCAGTGCAGCTGTTGGAGGATGGGGGTGATGTGATGGAAGGAAGGGGTTCCAGTGATGATACGGGCCAAAGAATTATGGACCAATTGAAGTTTATGGAGAAATTTGTTGTGGACACCGAAGAGAAGTGAGTTACAATAGTCAATACGGGAGGTGACGAGACTGTGGACAAGGATGGCAGTGGAGTGAGGGGTGAGAGAGGGACGGAGACGGTTGATATTGCGTAGGTGGAAATACGCGGACCGGGTTATGTTATTGATATGAGAGTGGAACGATAGTGAGCTATCGAGAATGACACCCAGGCTCTTGACCTGAAGGGAGGGGGAAACAGTGGAGTTATCAATAGTGAGAGAAAAACTGTTGGTTTTGTGTAGGGTGGATTTGGTACCGACGAGGAGGAGTTCTGTTTTATCACTGTTAAGTTTGAGGAAGTTATGTGTGAACCAAGATTTAATTTCTGAAAGGCAGTGTGAGAGGGAGGAGGGTGGGAGGGATGCGTCGGGTTTGCTGGAGAGGTAGAGCTGGGTGTCATCCGCGAAGCAATGAAAATGTATACCAAATTTACGGAAAATATTGCCAAGGGGGAGAAGGTAAATAATGAATGAGGTATTATGTGGGTCCATTTGAATTGTACTTTTCATATTGATAATTGATTATTTAATATCATCTTGATTATTTAAGTTATTCAGTACCAGTCATTTTCAAACTCTTTCAGAAAATTGAAAAAAATATGTATCGCACACCTCCTCCGTCAGTTTTGAGGCTGTGGGAATGATTTCATCCATGCATCCATCCATCCATCCATCCATTGTTTTGATCTGCTTATCCTCACAAGGGTAATGGGGGTGCTGGAGCCTATCCCAGCTGTCTTCGGGCAGAAGGCGGGTGACACCCTGAAATGATTGCCAGCCAATCCCAGGGCATGCATAGACAAACAGCCATGTGCGCTCACACGAGGGACAATTTAGAATGTTCCATTAACCTGCCACGCATGCTTTTGGAATGCGGGAGGAAATCGGAGTACCCGGAGAAAACCCATGCAGGCACAGGGGGAACATGCAAACTCCACACAGGAAGGCCGGAGCTGGAATCGGTCCCTGCACCTCTGCACTGTAAGGGCGATGCACGAAGCAGTTAACCGCCAGGCCGCCTCGGAATGATTTCAGTATGATGAATCACTAAATGGCAGGAGTGGCTTTGATCAAATCTTGGTCGCACACGATGTGAGAGGGTGTGCAGTGTGGTACTGCAAGCCAATGTCGCAAGGTGATGTGGGGGTGCAGTGTGGTGTGGAGATTGAGAACATGGATAAATACCAGCAGATAACTCTACAACAGAGCTTTAAAAAAATCCAATCAAAGTGACCTTTTTTGTTTTGTTCATGTTGTTATTTAGTCGGAGAGCATAGTTTAGATATCTGAGGTATCACAAATGCAAATGCAAATGCAAAAAAAAAAAAAAAGCGTCCAAGTGTGCATTTGTTTTTGGCTTCCAGATTGCCTTTGATAAGTCATCAAATGGCTGTTGCAAACCTATGCTGGGCACTTGGTGCTAGCAGCTCGCCGCCAACGCTGGCCTTCATTAGCAATCCATGATTTTAAGATGCCACTATGTCATGGCAATAAAAACTGCTTAGTCAAGCCAGCTGCCACAGCGATTGTTCATACTTTACACATGCTCCAGGGCCATCTTCAAAATAAAAGCCGACCAAGGCATTGACGTCCATGTGTTATTTTAAAGGCTTTTATTTTGAAATTGGAGTTGGCCTTGGCAGCGGGTTGGAGAAGTGTTACCATAATGCATAGTATGAACAATGCGGCTTGTTTGACTCCCAGACAGTGCACACCGAATAAATGGTTACCCAAGGCAGAACAAAAATTTATAGCTTTTTTATTGAATGAAGCTACTGTAATGACTTGAGGTTTTCACTTCACCCCTAGTCTGGTCAGTCCAGTACTCCACAGCCTCTCTCCATGGATCATGTGTAGATCCTAAAAACCTTCATTATACATTAAATATAAACCATAATAATGTGTTTTTGTCTTCATGTGTCTTGCAGACATCAGTGAAGATGTACATCCTGAGCGGCAAGATCCAGAGCCCGCTCACATTAAAGAGGAAGAGGACAATGAAGAACTTCTCCACTTTACAGAAGGGGAGCAACGACTACCTTTACATTAAAAAGGAGCAGCCAGCGCACCCTTGAAGAGGTAGAAGAGTGCCCCTACATCAAAGAACAGGAGGACGAAGAGGTCCCCCACTTTAAAGAGGAAGAAGAGCAGCAGTACCCTTATATTAATAAAGAGGAGCCAGAACACCATTGCATTAAAGAGGAGGTGGCATATTCCCCCTATATCAAAGAAGAGCTGGATGACGATGACATCTGCGAGTTGCAATCGACTGGTAAAGATGAAGGTCAACGTGAGGTGAGCAGAGAAGCGGAACCTCCAAGCGGCAGCTCATGTCAACACATGATGACAGATGGTGATGCAGACCACTGCGGAGGATCACAAGCAGACGGCTAACGTCACACGCTCCTCCCGCTGACGACGACGATGACGAGTCTGAAGGTAATCTGACATATGACACTGGAATCAAACGCTGGGAATGTTATCAGTGTGAAAACTTTTACTTATAAGAGCGGTTTGAAACGACACATGATAACACACTCTGGAAAGAAACCGTTTGCCTGCTCAGACGGCGATCAAAGATTTACCGGTAAAACGTGAAAAATACACACAAGAACACACACTGGTGAGAAACCTTTCACCTGCCTTGTTTGTGAACAAAGATTCTCTAATAGCACAAGCCTAAAAATACACACAAAAACACATACCAGTGAAAAACATTTTGCCTGCCCAGTTTGTGGTAAAAAATTCTCTCAGAAGGGAAGCTTAAAAATACACCCAAGAATGCACAGTGGTGACAAACCTTTTGTCTGCACAGACTGTGGTCAAAGATTCTCTTGTAAGGGAAACTTAGTCAGTCACACAAGAACCCACACTGATGAAAAAGAGGTATTTCTTAATTCGTGAAAAACGGTTTGCCTGCTTTGATTGTGGTCAGAGATTCTCTCATAAGACAAGCTTAACAGTACACACAAGAACACACATGGGTGAGAAACCTTTTGCCTGCTTGGTGTGTGGTGAGAAATTCTATCAGAAGGGACACTTAATTAGTCACACAAGGAAGCACACTGGTGAGAAACCTTTTACCTGCTCAGTTTGTGGTCAAAGATTCTCTTGTCAACGAGACTTACAAAAACACTCAAGAACCCACACTGCTGAGAAACCTTTTGCTTGCTCAGTTTGTGACCTAAGATTCTTTCAGAAGGTTCAGGTCAAGCAACACAAGTGTGCTGGCAATAAATGCAGAAATCAAGAAGCTTTAAATGAAAATAGCAATGTTTCATAAACCACTTGCAGATCTCATCTGCACATGCATGAGAATCAAGTCCAAAAAAATAAATAAATAAAAAGGCGACCGAATGAGTAGCAGTTTTGTTTGATAGTTCATAAGTGCATGCCTAATTATACACCTTAAAGCTTGCATGTATTGTTTCGCAGGATTTAGCCTTAAGTGACCAAGCGACAAGTGCACTCGGATTTTACAGGCTTGAGCGTTGCTTTAAAAAATAAATAAATAAATACACCACAAAACATTGTTCATGGTCCGACCGATGTTTCGTGGGCTGGTAACAATCTGTTCCATTGCCGCTGTGGTGTTGGCCTACAATTGGGTCAAATATGCACTGCTTCAGAATTTGTGCGGCGGTGTTTGTTTTATCGTCTCGAAACGCTTCTGACAATTTTAAAGCGAGAGGTAAAAATTTCCCATTAGAAGCGTCAGAAGCGCTGCCAAAAAGCTCTTCATTTCTGTGTACTAACTATTTTAGTGGTTGTTAAATTTTATCTGGATAGACTTATTAATTGTAATACAGTCAAACCTCGGTTTTCGAACGTCTCTGTTCTCGACCAAATTGGTTTTCGACCAAAAATTCCGAGTTTTTTTATGCCTTGGATTACGACCGAAAATCGGTTCTCGACCAAACTGAGCGCACTTGAATGCACCACTTGACTCCTCTCTCCTTCCTTACACGAGGAAGTGACGCTTCCTCGTGTAGCGTTCCATTGTGAGCAGACGTGTTCAATCAAGATTTTTTTTTTAAAAAAGAGCGTGGTTTCGGTTTTCGAACAAATCGGTTTTCGAACAGCCTTCTGGAATGGATTGTGGTCGAAAACCGAGGTATGACTGTACTCATTTTCTGTTCAAACCCTAATGAAATTCCACCCAGACATCTGTGAAAAGTCTCCTGCACGCCTCAGAAGTCGTTTGTGTGTTTTACAGACTGTGCGTTGCACATTCATGATTAGCATTAGCTTCTCCTTCTCACCATGTTCTCTCTTCTTGCTCTGTGTGTGTCTCTGCATGCTTAGCGATACCTCTTCCCCTTTTAGTGATTGTGCTACCTGTTAGGAAAGGCAAGGATTAGTTACTTAGAGGAGAGGATCCGTAATGTGCAAACAGAAATTATGCGAAGTTAGCTTGGCGTGTAGCGTTTGCTCTTTGAACTAGCTTGGATCTGGGTAGTGTGACCTGTCCACAGTAGCATTGGGCTTGGTGGCATGAAAATTGATGATCCCAAAATCATGTTGTCGGCAATGCCAGTTTCGAACTGAAAACGATATATCGTTCACCCATCACATGGATGTACAAGGACCCAAGTAGTAACTGATACAAGAAGACAAGTGGAGACTGAATTGCTTGGAAATATGCCCCCCCTGTTGTGGCGTTAAATTATTGTTGTAATGAGTGTCTTAAGCAAGGAAAAATTAAAAAATTGAAGTGGCAAACAAAATAAATACAGTCTCCATTTTAAAAAATGTGTTGTATGTTTACTTGGTTGGAATTCATCTAATATTTAGACTTGGTTGATGATTTTATAGTGCTGTCAAGCGATTAAAAACATTGTGAGATTAATTCATTATAATCTGTAATTAATTGATCTAATTAATCTATATTTTAATCTCATCTAAAAAGTGCTGAGAAAACCCCTATTTTCATTTTTAATTTATTACATTATTGAGGCAGATCAAAAGACAAAAAAAGTGGCAATCTTAAGTCTTTCATTGTTTGTAAAAAGACTTCAACAGATGCAGTCCTAGGCATTCACTTGCTGCTGTAGTTGAGACTAGTCCGAAGTCCGAACTGCAACCTTTAGTTTCGACCACCAGGGTGAATATCACCGTTTTGTTTTGTTTTTGTAAATCTCCAAATAATTACAAAATAAAAATAAAAATAGAACATCAGGTCCATAAAATGTTCTTTTACTTCTTCCTCTCATAACTTTGCTGCTGTGAAGTGGGAATTTCTCCATTGTGAGTCTATTAAAGGTTTTCTTATCTTATCTTAAAAAGTGCTGAGGTTAACATATCAAAAACAGTAAGAACATTTTTCTGAGCAAGACAAGTACTCAACACTGAACTTGCTTTGAATAATAAAAAATAAATAAGAGACCCTGAAATCACAGAGCTGTAAATTAGCACTTCATAAATAACATTGTTCATCATGAGAAAATAAAGTGCTGAAATAAACATCAACCACTTCTGGTAGGCTACTGAGGACATAGCAACTATGTTGACTTCATGCCTCGTACGCGGGGTGTTCTCCTCGAGTTTAGTTTGGCGAAGAGCTTTGCTTTAGCTCGCTATATTGCTAACGCTTTCGGTGCTAACGTTAGCTGTGGATGCACTCGCGACTGGGTGCTTTGCATTAATGTGGGAGGCTAAACTTGAGCTGCTTCGGTGGTCAGCAAACTCCTTACAAATTAGGGACAACACTATTTTTATCAATCATGCCATCAGGGCGTTTTGAACGTACATTTTAAGATAAGATAAGATAAGAAAACCTTTATTAGTCTCGTAATGGAGAAATTCCCCAATTCACAGCAGCAAAGTTATGAATGGAAGAAGTAGAACAACAAAATATAGGAGCTGCGGGAAAGGCAGCCACTCACGCGGCGCCATCTTGAAGTCAAAATAACAAAAAGAACACAACACAACACATAGGACACAGACAGTCGTGCAATCTTCACCACTTTCCTGCATACACTTTGTTGTCTGAAGCAGTTATAGATGAAAGAGGAGAGGATCAAAGTGTCCTTTTACCAGTGGATCAGAGACGTCATGCTGAAAATGTGCACGTCTGCTACAAGCTAAGTTTTGAAAGCAAACACGAAGCTGTAGCGTCCATTGACAAAAAGAGATTAGTTCACTACTCCTGTCCCATGTAATCCGCTTCAACTCCAAGCCGCGACTCCCAGTTCCACATCCGCTCTGCGCTAACGCTCCTTTCTTCTCATCGTCGGCTCCTCAAGCCTTGCATCCATCCAGCCGCAGACCATTCAACAGCACCGATCTCTCCGCTGAACAAAGCGGGGCTGTGAAAATGCTGCCCATTACAAAACAACAAAAAAAAGCAAGGCTCATGAGAGCACTTGCAGATGGCTGCCTACTCGGGCGCCATCTTGGACTTCCATTCATTGTGCCGAGAACTTTCAGATACTCCTCCATTTTCACCCCTCCACTCCTCACCGCTGCTGAATTAGCCCGCCCTATTCCAATTGGAGCCAATCAGTTTATGCTAAACAAGCCCAAACATAATGACAGCCAATCAATGTTCGGTTCAGGCTGTGACTGACAGTTGTTTCCCCACCCTCAACTACTCGAACACAGGAAGCCAACACATGAAAATGGATATTATAAAAAGGCAACCCACCTACAGAAACAATAAAGTTAGAGATTAAAATGTAGATTAACGCGATTAAAAACATAACGCACTAAATATGACTAATTAATTATTTGCAATTAACGCAATAAATTGACACCTCTAGATTTTAAACATTAAGGTATGGAAACTGCTTTGAAGCCCATAATGTATTAAAAGCCCATAATAACATTGTACATTTTCCTTTTTGAAAATATAATTTGTCCAAAATGTTTATTGACAAAAACTAAGATCAAGAATGTCGAGAGAATTGCTCTTGGTACGTGAGTTGTGAGCAAGGTGAATAATCAGACAGCAAGTGGTCGGAGTGTGTCAGAGATTTTCTCGGACAAGGTTAAAGAAACGACTCGGCACACAGGAAAATTGTCTTCAATATCGACGGAAGCGGATCTCTGAGAGCGAACGACGGTTTAGTTGCTCCGTGATCACGCTCAGAGCCCCCCCTCCTCGAGTTCGAACATTTATTTGTGACATATGCAAAATACAAGAAAAACATTGCCCCCGATATTTGCATACCGTACCCCTGGTCCGGCCCCTCGGTAGTGATTGGTTACCTGGGTATGAGCTTTGAACCACCGGCACGTTGGCGCCTTTCGGTCTGGTCTACACTGTATCAACATATCGCGGACTTTGCGGATGACAAATGTCGCCTGGGCGCGACGGGTGTTCTCAAATCGTCTTTTGTTGTTCGACCGCTGTTCCCAAATTACTCGCTCCCCCTTTGTGACCGGATCTGATCTCCTCTGATTGCCCACCCGCTTTGATGTGTTGATTGTGGTGTGGGCTGCAACAGCCCCCAGCCCAAATGGCCGGCACCTTCTGAAAAGGAATTTGGGGGTGCTGATAACGCACCCAGATGCTTCGACGTGCCCAGATCAAATGAGACTTTAAACATGATACAATTTCGCCCATAGATTCCTCTAACAGAGTGTCAGTCCTTAAGTAGTCCACTGATTACAATACAATACAGGCCAATGGTTAATCGGTCGGGCCCTAATATGAATGATAAACTAAATTAAACCGTTGACACAAAAAAATGTATGCCTTGAAGCGACATATTTAACCCGATAAAATAATTTAAAAAGCATATTTGTGGTCCCTGGCCACTTACTGTTCCACTTTAGGACTACGATGGTAAAAGACAGGATGATGTTTTTTTTTTTTTTTTAACTAATTCGCAAATCTTATTTATCCTACCGTCTCTAGTTAGAATGCATTATATTATATTCATTTTGCAAATGACGCGAGTTACCAGTGAACTTCGCCTAGCTTGTTCCAAAGTGCATCTAAATGGCGAAGCAGTGTAATGTGATGTGATTATACGTCAGAAAAACAAGGATGAGTCGAGCGTGCAGCCGAATCGTTTTTTTTTTTTTTTTAAGAAGTCCTCTCATCCACTCATAGCGGAGCAGCCATACATGACCATGAGAGGCTCATGTTTGTGAATGACAAGACCTTGGCTTGTATGAAAAGCAATGTTGTGTTTGTTTCTTAACAACAATGTTCATGGATAAGTGCAACCTGGTCTATTGTTGAATCACCCAAAAATATTGCCTAACACAGTGCAATGAAGAAAAAGCAAAACCAGCATCCGCTGTGGGAGTGGCGTGTTGTCGGGGCGCATTCGCAGAGTAATCGATGGAATAATTGATAGGCAGGACTTGGCAATTTAACCAGTTTGCCCAACTTTACAGTACAGTATTTACTGTCTCCGATGTCATGCGATGTTGTAGAGACGTCAACCAGTACAGCCCCACACCATCCAGACCCTTGAGGAACTCTATGTAGATCTCATTGATCCCTGGAGCCTGACCACAAAGGAGTTTTTAACCACCTTGGTGCTCTCAATCAGACATCGGAAAACCCACATCAGAGTCCCCAGACTCTGCTTCCTGTCATCCTGTCAGTACAATTGGGAAGGTCATGAACATGTATTGTTTCCACTGATTCACAACATCCCATGTTGAGGTCAGTCGGAAAGTTGGCATTGCCCATCATTTAAGTTCCCCAGCAGAAAAAGGGAGTCCTCAAGGTGATAACTCTCCATCACATCCTCAAAGGACTCCAAATAGGGTGGGTACTCGGAACTGTTGTCTAGTCCATAAGCACAAAGAACAGTCAGGACCTGCCCCCCTAACCAAAGGTGGAGGGAGGCTCCCTTCTCATCCATCGGGATGAACCCCAATGTATCAGCACTGAGCCGGGGGGCAATAAGTATGTCCACACCTGCTGTTGTTTCTTAACAACTGTTTGGTTGTACAGTTTAGGGTGCACTTGAAGATGATTTTATTTGTGTTTAAATCTTTAAATGGTCTCGCACCACGTTAACTCACTGAGCTCCTTCATCCCTATGACTACACGCCTCAGGGCAGCGAACCAGACGTTCCTGGAGGTGTACCACAAATGAAGCAGAGGCTCAGCGGGCATTGAGCCTTTTCTGTTGATGGCTCCTTTCTTTGGAATGACCTTTTAAATGTTAGCCAAGCCACTTCTTTGTTCATTTATAAATCCCGTCTTAAAACCCATTTTAATCTTTGGCTTTCAACTTAGCATGAGACTCTGCATTGTTATAGTGTTTTATGGTGTCTGCTGTCTTTGTTATGTCTCTAATTTCTATTCCATGCATAGCATGGTTGTCTTAATGCGCTCAATAAATAAAATTTGAGTTGAATATCATAAAAAGTCGCTTTCACTTGACGTCAATTCCACTTGACATCAGTTCCACTTGACGTCACTTCCACTTTGGATTTATTTCCCCGTCACCGTATTGGGTGGCTAGCGTTTAACTCCACTCTTCAAAACATGCTTCTCGACTGCTCTTAAAATGAGGTGCTCTTCTTGCATAATTAGGTGTTGTAACAATGCCAAGAGAGGAAAAGATCAATGTTTCTTTCAGATTTCAACGATAATCATGTACCAAGGCCCAGTGTCAGAAGAAATGTTTAAAACACAGCAAGCCAAGTGGCTGAGTAACATCTGTTTGAAAACGTAGTGATATACTGTACACTACATCCCAAAAAAAGTCATATTAAACTGAGAATTGTCAGGTCAGACCCTTAAGACAAACTTTAAAACACAAGAGAGACTAGGAGTCAAGCAGAGTTGTCTTTAACCTGTGCACAAAGAGAATGAATGAGCGTAATCCATTACAATCTCTGAACAGCTTTGGAAACACTTCACTTTTTCACTTGTTTTCTGGTTGACTATTCAACTGTGATATGATGGTAATTTGTCAGAATATGAGTGGGAAATCACAGAGAGAATCACCAAAAGCATGTCATCATACATCACATTCACAGCAGCCACCCACCCCCGGTCGACACGCAAATATATTTGATGGAATGTATGTCACAAGACTTTTTAAGGAAACAGCATGGGACAAGAAAGGCTCAGTGGACGGTTTTGAGAACAGCAGAGCAAGGATTTAGGACTTGAATGGCATCGTAAATAACTTTGCTAAACGCAAAGCCCATAAAATAGGCTTCTAATTAGTGTATGCAAGGAGACATTTGATTACCTCTGCCATCATCTTGGACCTAAGATGGAGAAGAGCGACACAAATCTTTGCACTACTCTGCTAAAGAGAGAGAGAGAGAGTGCTGGCGGCTTGAGGTCATACAGTTGCCCAGTGTCAAGGACCTGGTTTAATATATTGAGAGAAGATGGGGACTGTCACGGCGTGCTGGCGTTATAGATTCGCACTCTAGAGGAGTATCACAGGGAATACTTCATCCGCAAAAGCTTGGACTCCATCATTCTTCAGATTGTCGTGGATGAAATTATATGGCTGTGGTGTAGTCTTACATGTTTGACTACATCATATCCATTAGGTAAAACTATGCTACACAGCTTGCATAGCCACATGCTTCAAGAGTGCAATCACACATTTTTGGGCATAATATTTCACCACTCTCATCAGTTCTCATCTTCTCCAACCTTGTCTTATCACATAATTTTGTGACACGGGATAGTTTAATAAGCCGAGTTTGTGTGATGAATTGAGAAAAAAAATCCCACAAAATTGAATATCCCTTACCTTAGGTCAGTGGTTCTCAAATAGTGGGGCGCACCCCCCATAGGGGGGCGCGAGGCTCCCTCAGGGGGGCGCGTTTGGCCTCGGGGAACATGCTTTTTTATTTTGATTTGTTTTTACTGTCCTAGAATAAAGTGCAATTGCACCTCGACTACATTAGGGGGCAGTGGCGCTCACCTTGGCAGAGTGCGCAGGGAGCATTCGCTATGTGTTTTGTTCGCACTGAGCATGCACGCTTTGCACACGGCACACAGTATGAGTCTGAAGCGTAGACACGAAGTCGACAGGCGGAGAGAGAGAGAGAGACAGAGAAAAGAGGTCTACCGAAAGCGAAGACGAGCAAATATGACGAAGCGTATGTAGCGCTTGGCTCCACTGTGACTACGGTGGGAGGAAAGACAGCGGACATCATGAAGCCAAATGAATTAAGGCGTCACTTAAAGACATTACACCCCAATCCAGTTGATAAGTTTTTTTTTTCAGATTTTTCAGAGAAAGCGTGCCGAATATTGCCAACAAACATCCCGTTTTGTGACTGCTATTTGTAGCCATTAATCCAGACATCATCTCTGATTAAAAAAAAAATCTGCACAAATTATTTTATATATTTTTGCTTTGCAGGTTATAGTTTTTTTAAGATTGTGCTCCTGAGTTAATGTTGGTGATCAGTTTGAATGCATTGTTATTTATTGATTTTATCTACCGGTAATTTATTATTCAGTATCGTATGGTTTGACATTGTCCGTCAAAAAATATTTATAGTTAAATTAAGGATTTAATTTTACTTTTGAATTTCAGATGCACTTTTTCTTTTCTGTTACAGTTAATAAAGCTATTCTTTGTTGTAAGTTGGTCCATTTTTCTTTTTTATTCTCTTATACGTTAATAAGGATACAGTGTTATGCAGAGGTGTACTTATAACAATTTTATAGACAAATGATACTACAGTTATTTATAGTCACGAGGGGGGGCGCGAGATGTTTTCTTCTTCTTGGGGGGGGGGCATGACAGAAAATAATTGAGAACCACTGCCTTAGGTCATGTGGCTTTCTCAATCACCTTCATTGTAAATGTAAACCATCATATCATGTGTGTTTGTTGTCTTGTATCTTGCAGGCATATGTGAAGATGTTTGTCCTGAGCACCGGGAGGCAGAGCCCCCCCACATTAAAGAAGAAGCGGAGAATGAGGAGATGCCGCACTTGAAAGCGGAAGAGGAGCAGCGGTGGCCTGATGTTCAAAAAGAGAAGCTACCACACTTTTACATAAAAGAGGAGGGAGAAGAGCCCCCCTATATCAAAAAGTAAGAAAAGGAGGAGGAGCCTGTCTGCAAGTTCTTATCAGCAGGAAGCCCTTTGTAGAATAAAGTTGAAGGTGAAAGCGAGGTGAGCAGAGGGGCGGAGCCTCCAAGCAGCAACAGCTCAAGTCAACACATGACAACAGAAGATGATGGAGACCACTGTGGAGGATCGCAAGCAGATGGACTCTTCGCTCCACTATCAGATAGTGATGACATAACGTCACACTCACTTAAAGCTGATGATTATGATGATCAAAGGTCTGGAAGTAATATGACATTGCACACTCAAAACAAATGCTGGAAATGTTCTTACTGTGGGAAAGTTTGTACTTATAAGAGCCATTTGAAACAGCACATAAGAATCCATTCTGGAGAAAAAACATTTTCCTGCTCCCGTTATGGTCAAAGATTCTCGCAGAAGGAAGGGAGGCTTAAGTCGGCACACCAAAACCCAAACTGGTGAGAAACCTTTTGCCTGCTCAATTTGCGGTCGAAGATTCTCGATAAAGGCAAGCCTAATGAGGCACACAAGTACCCACACTGGTGACAAGCCTTTTATTTGCTCAGTTTGTGGGCAAAGATCCTCTCAGAGAGGAGACTTAAGAAGGCACACGAGTACGCACACTGGTGAGAAACCTTTTGCCTGTTCTGACTGTGGTCAAGGATTCTCTCAGAAGACACATTTGAGAAGTCACAGAAAAACCCACACCGGTGAGAAACTTTAAATGCTCTGACTGCAGTAAAAAATTTTCGCGGAAGGGACACTTACTAAGTCACACAAGAACGCAGACTGGTGAGAAACCTTTTTCCTGCTCAGTTTGTGGCCAAAGATTCTCTCACAAGGTAACCTTAACAAGTCACAAAAGAACACGCTGGTGAGAAACTGCACTTGTAGTCTGTATCTTCTTCAAGCCTCATGTGGACAAGAGTTCAGAATTAGCACTGGTGCTTTATCCCCGTATCTCTGATCGAGGTCTTTTGAAGCATTATTTAAAATTAATTCAAATCAGTGCGGATGGTGACCCAGTTCGACACTGACCATCTTCTTCCCTTGAAAAATAAATCATTTCAATTTGAGTGTTTCTAACATTGCTTCTATAATGCAGCAGTAAAATAAAAAGCCTCACTGAGATTTGTGCTGTTTTTTTTTTAATGTCAATATATTTTGCACAATGAAAAAATGGCCACGGCGACTACTTCCTGTTCGCAATATGCCAACACACCCATGTAATTAAGCGCCCTTCAAAACATTAAACTGCATCCGTTCTATCAATAAAAAATAGTTGTTACCACCAAACTAGCAGAATCTGATTACAACAGAGTAGCATTTAATTGAGTTCCACGTTGTCACCATCTTTGACATTGGCACACAACCATAAAACTGCATTCGGTTGACAACAAAATACAAACTGATCACAGTGGTCACACCGAAAAACTGTTACAGCTAACATAATGTTAGAACACATTAAACACTTGTATGACAAACGTTGGATGGAAAACATTTTGAAATGTATACCTGTCACTGAAGGGTGACAACATGAACATCTGGAACAGTTATTTTGCAGTCATTTTAATACAGTAATCCCTCGCTACTTCGCGGTTCGTTTATCGCGGGTTCAGTGCGTCGCGGATTTTTTCAAACATATAAAAACAATATATATATATATATGTATTGTTTTGCAGCTTCACGCGGACCGTTTATGTTAATTGGACGCTTCTTCGCGCATTTTCGTTTATCGCGGGTAGATTTGGTCCCCATTAACCGCGATAAACGAGGGATTACTGTATTGTTAAAATATTTACTGCTTACTTTTTCTGTGTCTTTCAACTTGATTTTGATTTGTTTTCCAAGAGTACTTTCATCTGTGGTCACGGATCAATTTTGTCATTTTTTTTTCCCCCGGTTCTTTTGTTTGATTGGCTCATGAAAGGAGTCAATGATTTACCTGAGGATGAAATCAATTTTGGAGGAAGAGATTAGAAGTTCACATCCGTAAATTAACAGAATTACAAGGCACTGGAGATGATTCAACAACCGTCTGGACGAATTTGTGACATTGCTCGTAGCTCCCCATTTTTCCCCATTGGTTCATTCTGAGACAAAATAGTACACGAGATAATCTGGTAAAGTTTCAGATTTTAAAAACATGAAGCATTTTCCGTCTAGCTGTACATTTGTTCATATCATCCATCCAACGTGACCTGATTTAACCTGATCATTAAACTAAAACTAATACCAAGACCAATAAAAACTAACATCAGACGAAGCCTTGATCAAAAAAATAAATAAATAAAATGAACAAACCCACTCTGAATAGTAATTCAAAGTAACTCAAGTGAGTTACTCATACTATCGTTTTGTGTGATGTTCAGATTGAAAGTGACTAAAAATATATTTTGCAAGATACTTTACTGCGATAACAACTTTGCAACAAGCAGTGGCTGACAAAACAGGGCCCAAATTTTTTTTAGAACTTTAAAAGAAGACCAAACAATAGCATGGCAAAAAACTTTGAAAATAAAAAGCATTGAAATGATCGCTGACAGACAACTTCAAACTTGTTTTATTTGTATTACTGTAGTTTCAACAAAATACGAGAAAGATACTAATTAGAATGCTTTCAATCACAAAAAGGGCATTAACTTGGAATATTTTGAAACACTTTAGAACAATTGAAATGAAAAACCTTTTTTAACAGACTACAGTAGAACTCCTCTACAATGAAATCATGTTTGCAGCCAGAAATTTTTCACAACAGGGGACTTTTCACGATAGCAAATTTTACCTCAGATGTAAACACACACATACACACAAAAAAAAACATATATGTGTACTCTTTATTTTTATTACAATTGTGCATAAATACGAGCATACACTTATTTGACACTTCATATAGCCAGCGTAGAAAGAAACAAAAGGGAAAGAAATTGCGAAATTTACGATCAGCATTCACTTTCAATTACATCATTTTCTTGCATGTCTTACTTTTCTTAACTCCTCGTGAAGAGCCTTTGTCTGCAAAGGTCCGTTTCGTAGCCATTTTAGACCAAGCAATGCAACGTTCGTGCTGTGTCTGAAATTACAATCAGAATCAGAATCATCTTTATTGGCCAAGTATGTAGAACACACAAGGAATTTGTCTCCGGTATAACACGCTGCATTAGTATCATCATAAACAAGGACATGACAAATAAGTCTGGAAAAATAAGTATGGAAGGACATTCCGTAATGTAAGTGAACCGTAGTGTGGTGGTACCATCCAGCGACAACTGTGAGACAATGTGCAAAGTATCAAGCAGAGCTAAAGTGATCAGTGGTAGAATACAATACTATAACAGTTGTACAGTTGGTGCAGAAAATCATTGAGCCATTTTAAAGTGACCAGTAGCAGTATTTGTAGTACAACAAGTGTGCAATTGTGCAGATGTCCTTGAGCGCTTTAAAGTGTCTGGTGCGGTGGAGTATGCCTCAGTGACAGTGGTTCAAGTAAGTACAGAGCTGGAGCTACAATGATTATAGCGGTAATGCTGTTCCACAGGGTTGTGCAAAATTGCAAAGAGCCACTATACAGGTAGATTTGGGTTACTGTTGAGGGAGTTAATGGCTAGAGGGAAGAAGCTGTTTAATTGTCTGCTGGATTTGGTGCGCATGGATCGGTAGCACCTGCCTGGGGGGAGTAGCTGGAAAAGGTGGTGGGCAGGGTGCGAGGGATCCAGTTGGATTTTCCGTGCCCTTGTCTTTATTCTTGCAGTGTGCAAGTCCTCAAGAGTGGGTAGGGCGGTGCCAATGACTTTTTTCCGCCGTCGTAACTGTCCGTTGAAGTCGGATTTTGTCCTTTTTTGTGGCGGCCCCAAACCAAACTGTGATGGAAGAACACAGGATTGATTCGATGACTGCCGTGTAGAACTGTCGTAGCACCTCCTGTGGCAGGCCATGCTTCCTCAGAAGCCTCAGGAAGTATATCCTTTGCTGGGCCCTTTTCAGGATGGAGTTGGTGTTGACCTCCCACTTCATGTCCTGGGAGACTGTGATTTCCAGGAATTTGAAGGTCTCGACGGTTGACACACGGCAGTTGGATAGTGTGAGGGGCAGCTGTGGTGAAGAATGTTTCTTGAAGTCCACGATCATCTCTACAGTCTTGAGCGTGTTCAGCCCAAGGTTGTGTCAGCTGCATCAGAGCTCCAGCTGCTCCACTTGTCGGTACGCAGACTCGTCGCCGTCTTTGATGAGACCGATGACCGTGGTGTCGTCTGCGAACTTTATGAGTTTGACACCTGGGTTTGTTGAGGTGCAATCGTTCGTGTAGAAGGAGAAGAGCAGTGGAGAGAGGACACATCTCTGTGGGGCTCCAGTGCTAGTGGTGCGTGTTGATGATGTTGTTCTTCCCAGTCTCACCTGTTGTGTCCGTCCCGTAAGGAAGCTGAGGATCCACTGGCAGATCCTAAGGGACACACCGAGCTGGAGAAGTTTGGGGGTGAGGAGTTCTGGGATGATGGTGTTGAACGCAGAACTGAAATCCACAAACAGGATCCTTGCGTAGGTCCCTGTGCTGTCGAGGTGCTCGAGGATGTAGGGCAGGCCTATGTTGACTGCGTCCTCCACAGACCTGTTTGCCCGGTAGGCAAACTGAAGAGGGTCCAGCAGGGGTCCGGTGACATTCTTTAGGTGGTTCAGCTCAAGGCGTTCAAAGGACTTCATGACCACAGACGTCAGAGCGACAGGCCTATAGTCGTTCAGTTCTGATGTTGCTGGTTTCTTGGGAACTGGGATGATGGTAGACTGTTTGAAGCAGATGGGACCTCACACAGCTCCAGGGATCTGTTGAAGATTTGTGTGAAGACTGGAGCCAGTTGGTCAGTGCAAACTTTCAGGCAGGAAGGCGACACTTTGTAGGGCTCCGCAGCTTTCTTGATCTTCTGCTGCTTGAAGAGCCGTCTCATGTCCTATTCGTGGATCTGTAGGGGAGAGAAGGTGGGGGCGTGGATAGAGTAGTTTCTGGTAGAGATGGGTGTATGTGGGAAATCGGGGTGTCCTTTTCAAATCGGCAGAAAAACATGTTTAGTTCATCAGACAGACCCTTATTGTTCACTGTTTGGGGGGATGGCATTCTATAGTTTGTGATTGCTTTCAGGCCATTCCACACAGATGCAGAGTCGTTAGCAGAGAACTGTTTTTTTAGCCTCTCTGCATAGCTTCTTTTTGCGATGTTAATTTCCTTTGTCAATTGATTTCGGGCGTGTTTGTACAGTGCCGATCTCCACTTCTAAATGCGGCCTCTTTCTCTTTTCTAAGTTGCCTGAGTTTGGGAGTGAACCATGGCTTGTTATTGTTGAAGGAGCAGAAGGACGTCATTGGTACACACATGTCCTCACAGAAACTGATGTATGATGTTACAGTGTCTGTGTATTCATCCAGTGTGCCTGTTGAAGTTTCAAAGACGCCCCAATCAGTGCAGTCTAAGCATTCTTGTTTGGTTAATGCTGGTAATCTGATGCTAAGAACACATCAGGAATAGGAAGACTCAGGAGGCAGGCATGGTTGTTTTTCTTGCAAGAGAGAGTGCGCTAAAACATCTCTCGGTTCACAATCTCAGAGCAGCTCTCCAGCTGGCTCTGCCATGTAAACCGTTACAGGTTCTGGGGCAACTCTGAAGAGTGCGCGTTTGTCTCCTTGCATTTATTGGAAGGATGTCCCTGATACACGATCTTCTAACGGGAGTGAGGAGTATTTTCACATTCCACAACAGTTTCAGTAAAGGAGAGTTTCAATGAGAACACACAGTTCATTCCTGAGATGTTGTCAAACGGCTCCTACTGGATGTCGATGGTCCACGAACACAGCTTGGGATGTCCCTCTCATGGTGTCCTGGGT